TCCTTTTTTAGAAAATCAAATTTGCAAAGCTTCTTAGAGAAGCTAAACAAGGCTCAAATCCCTCTATACACGTGTATGGAGGGGGGGAATTGTGTGTGCTAGCTGTGTCAGCTGGTACAAAATACATGCCAAAAGCAGATGGAAAGGGGTCGGCGGGAAAATATGGCCGATTGACCAACAAAGGTGTCCGACCGACCAAAAACAGTGCCGATCGGCCAAAACTTTTGGTCGATGGCAAGAAAAAATGAGTCGATGGCTTCATGCCTTGGCCGGTGGGTTGAGAGGAAGGCCAACAAGCCACCCTCTTCCCTAAGAATCAAAAACACAAGTGCTTGGTCCACAACCAAGCACTAAACAGTCAAGTTGAGAGATCTTGAGGCAAGGCGCGCTCACAAATAAGTACTCTAATTAGTTCCAAGTTTTTCCTATTGATCTGTTAAGTCCTATTAGTGGAGAGTTTTTTTTTTTTTTTTTTTTTTTTTTTTTTTTTTTTCTTTTTTTGGGGTGTTTTTTTTTTTTTTTTTTTTTTTTTTTTTTTTTTTTTTTTTTCTGTGTGGTCCTATTTTTGATTTTGGTAGTGTTTTGATAGATAGTTATACCATTTTATTAATGTGACAAGTATGATGTGATACTCCAATGTGACACTCCAACGATGTGACACTCCAAAAAAAATTAAAAATTCTTTAGTGTACTTTTTCTAAATTTGACAACGTGACAAGTATGATGTGACACTTCAAAAAAAAAATTTCTTAGTGTATTTTTCTTAAACGTGACAACGTAGTGGATATAATATGACACTCTAAAAAAAATATACTCTAATGTAGCAGGTATTAATACGGCACTCCAAAAAAATTAAACACTCCTTAGTATATTTTTCCTAAATGTGACAACGTGGCGGGTATGATGTGATATTCTAAAAAAATAAAACTCTTTATTTAGTGTACTTTTTCCTAATGTGATAACAAGGCGGGTATGATGTGACACTTCAAAAAAAAAACTCGTTAGTGTATTTTTTCCTAATGTGACAACGTGGCAGGTATGATGTGACACTTAAAAAAAAATAAATACTCCTTAATGTACTTTTATCAAACGTGACAACATGGCGGGTATGATGTGTCACTCTAAAAAAAAAAAAAACTCATTAATGTACTTTTCTCAAATGTGAACGTAGCGGGTATAATGTGACACTTCAAAAAAAATAAAACTTCGTAGTGCACTTTTCTCAAACATGACAACATGTCAGGTATGATGTGACATTTTAAAAAAATTAAAAACTCATTAGTATACTTTTTTTAAACGAGATATGTGACACTCCAACATGGCAGGTATGATGTGACACTTTAAAAAAATTAAAAGCTTTTTAGTTTATTTTTCCCAAATGTGACACTCTAACGTGATGGGTCGGGTAATGAGTGGAGAGAGTGGTATGTATGTCACGTGCAATGCATCAACGCACAAACAAAAAGTATAAAAAGCCTTAGTATACTTTTGTGTTGTGTATCACCTAACCATGCGCATAACATGGCAAGTTTTAAACATACATCAAATAAAAACCTTACATAAAATAGTCCATGATTAACCTAATGGCGCTTGTGTCTTTTTCACAATAGAGAGGACCAAATGACTCACAAGAAAAGAACTGGGACTAAATGAAACACAAGATCAAAATTTAGGATTTATGGATAACTTCCCCAAAAAAATAATATCAAAAGTCTTTAATTTTGTTTAAATATAAATAAATAATAATCGTAAAATTCTCATTGTTTTTTTTGGATAAATAAAAGTCTCACTATTTATATATATAGAAAGAAAGAAAATTATTTAGTGTGCTAAGATTTTAAATGATTCTCAATTTTTTTGAAATGTAGTCCGATATGTGCGGGTATTGGGCATCTGCGGAGTGGAGGTGAGGTTGAAAAATTTCACTCGTAGCGAAAGTGGGATAGGGACAAAGTTTGTCGGGGAGGACAGGGGACAGAAAATGACAAATTCGCCCCAAACTTGCCAGCAGATGATCAATAATTGCTTAACAGTTAGATTTCCCTTGATCTGAAACTTTCTGCTTCTAGACCATGGAAAAATAAATATTTTTACATTGCAGAATACATGGAAAAATTATTGATTAATTCTGGGATATTACATGACTAGACTATACACTAATAATAATTCACTATATCCCCTCCTATTCTCTAAATATCCTTTCATATATTATAATTATTCAATATAAATTCATGAATTTTATTCCTTCTACCAATTATAACATCATTAAAAAAATTGATATCCCAAAACTAAAGTAACAACTTCTCCTGGTACATGATACATATAGTGAAAGCAGTCCAAAGCAAAGTCATAATCACGTGACTAACTTGACTATAACAAGAGCGTAAGAGATGCAAAAATGACTTGTTTGACACTCCTACATAAAGTTTTTCTGTGATCGTTGGGCCGCTGAGGCATTTCCCAAAAGCACGTAATAACATAGTCCTAAATTGCGGTATCGGGTAACGTAACGGTATCGATCGCGGAATATCGGTATCGGTAGTATCGATCGGTACGTATCGAGAATCGGGTGTCGCGGTGGTGAAATTTTAAAAATCATTTCAAAGGTTTTTCAACTTTTTCTTTCCCGTATGTAACGCTTACAGGCCGATACGTACCGGGACTCGGCCGATACTCCTGCGATTTTTAATCTCAGTGGTATATCGGCCTGTATCCGTCGCGGCACCCCATTTTTCCGATACGTATCGGCCGATACGTAGCGTATCGGCCGATATTTAGAACTATGCTCACAACCCAATATGTCAATTTATTCTTCTTTTTGCCTGCAAGAGAGAAACAAACAGCCAAGAAGTCCAATTACTCGACTTGGGAGGACAATTTTGTGATGACTACAACAGTGAAAAATTGCTAGGTGAAAAGCACACAAAATCACAAGACTTTCCTTCAATCCAGTTAGATCTTATACGTGCAGCTAGAAAACATTTTTCTGGTGAAAATAAGCTTGGAGAAGGTGGATTTGGTCCAGTTTACAAGGTACTTATGGTGCTAACAATAATCTTTGAAGGATATAAATCATAGTTTGTCACATGTATGGGTAACATGGTGCACTAGGTGATTGACAAAGCAGGGTTAAATTTAAAGGACCAACACAACCATAAATAGGCATTAATGTGGCCATTTCTTATTAAAGATTGTTGCATGACTTGAAAATGTTTGCACGGTACATTATCAGATGGCAAGGAAATTGCAGTTAAGAGACTCTCAAGAAGTTCTGGCCAAGGATTACGAGAGTTCAAGAATGAAGTTGTTTTAATTGCAAGATTACAACATATGAATCTTGTTAGACTGTTGGGTTGTTGCTTGAAGGGAGATGGGCTACTACTCATCTACGAGCACATGCCCAACAAAAGCCTAGATGTCTTTCTCTTTGGTCAGGATCCTTTTAAATCCTAGTCACTTGCAACCAAATAAAAGCTAAAAGTGAATTACTAAAGATTGTAATCAACTTGACTGCTTGTTTGTTTTCTTTCTAGATTCAAATAAAGTGCGCAACTAGATTGGAGGAGACATCTTTTAATTATTAATGGAATTGGCTGGGGCCTTCTATACCAGCATGAGGATTCCCATCTGAGAATAATTCATAGAGATCTTAAAGCTAGCAACATTTTGCTGAATCATGAGATGAATCCCAAGATATCAGACTTTTGGAATGGCTAGAATTTTTAGGGGAAATTAAAGTGAAGCGAACACAAATAGAGTAGTTGGAGCATAGTAACCCTCTTCTTTTTTTATACACACGTATACATACATAATCAATCATTTTATTTTGTCTGATCACTCTATTGTGATGCTTTTATTTGTAGTAGTGGATACATGGCTCCAGAGTATGCTATGGAAGGACTATTTTCTATTAAGTCACATGTTTTTAGTTTTAGAGTTCTCTTGTTGGAGATAATAAGTGACAGAAAAAATAGTGGCTTTTAACTTTCTGTGCATGTTAACAGCCTCCTCACCTTTGTATGTTCCTAGCTAAACAATTGCTTTTAGTTATCTCTCTGTTTTTAAAGAAAGAAGCATTCCGAAGAAACATCGATTGATTTTAATTGCATTACTTGCTACAATGTCACAAGCATGGAAATTATGGTCTGAAGGTCAAGGATTGGAATTGATGGACCCATTACTGGTGCAATCAAGTGTTGTAGACAAAGTGTTGAAGTGCATCCACATTGGATTGTTGTGCGTCCAGGAAGATCTAGCAAATAGACTGACTATGTTATTTGTAGTTGTTATGCTAGCAAGTGATACAATGACACTTTCTCAACCAACAAAACCAGCATTTTCTGTTGGTCGACTAGTCTTGAAATCACCCCAATCCTCACCAAATGTTAATGAACTCTCTGTTAATGAGGTAACTTTTTCAGATGCATCACCCTGACGATCGTTTACTATTAAATTCTTCTTTTTTTAGTTGTGCGTAAAGATTCATGGACTGACAAGTGTATTTGTAACGATAGTTTGGTAGAGAGAGAGAGAAAGAATAAACTAAAGTGTATATTGATCTATTCAGTATATGTTTACAATGGGAAGATTACTCTTCTTTATAAAAGGGAGAGGGCTGAAAGAAGAAAGCATAAAAGTGTGCACTAAGGGAACAGCATAATGAAAGCTTTACTTTACAACTAATTACAGCTACACTAACATCCCCCCGCAAACTCAAGGAGGGTAAGCATCAACCAACTTGAGTTTGGAAACAAGATCACTGAAGCGACCAGGATCGCCTTAGTGAAAATAGCAGCAGGTTTATCGACAAAAGCAATAGAGAGAAGAAGAATAGGGCCACGTGTAACATGCTGGCGAATGAAATGACAATCAATCTCAATATGCTTGGTGCGATCATGGAAAACATCATTGTGAGCAATCTGAATGGCACTCTAATTGTCACAATAGAGAGACGTAGCACCAGAAGAAGAAACGCCCATATCAGTAAGGAGCCAGCGAAGCTAGAGAAGTTCTTGAGTAGTATCAGGAAGAGCTTGGTATTCAGCTTCAGTACTAGAGCGGGTAGTGAGGGATTTTTTCTTGTTGCGCCAAGTAAGAAGAGAATCCCCTAAGAAGAAATAGAAAGCCGTGGTGGAGCGCCGATCCGTAGGATCCCCAACCCAATTAGCATCAGAAAAGGCACACAACTCAAGAGAGGAGGAAGCAGAGTAGTGAAGGCTATGAAACAGAGTGCCTTTGAGGTAGCGAAGAATGCGGAGTAGAGCAGTATAATGGGGAGTGCAAGGAGCTGACATGTACTAACTAACCAGATGAACAACATAGGCAATGTCAGGATGAGTCACAGTGAGATATACAAGACTACCGACTAACTGTGATAAAGAATAGCATCAGAGAGGAGATCCCCATCGAGAGAAGTGAGACGAATCGAAGGATCAACTGGAGTAGAGGTAGTTTTGCAATCGGTAAGACCAACACGAGCCAGAAGATCGGATGCATATTTGGCCTAGGACAAATAGTGACCAGTAGAATCATGGGAGATTTCAAGGCCTAAGAAGTAGTTAAGAGTACCAAGGTCCTTCATCTAAAACTGACGATGGAGAAAATGTTTAAGGTGAAGAATACCAGCTGCATCATTACCAATGATAATCATATCATCCACATAAAGAAGAAGAAGAGTGGTACTATGAGTAGTAGTCCGAACAAATAAAGCAGAGTCATAGGAGCTAGAGCTGAACCAGAAGTCATGAATGGTAGAGCTGAACTTAGCAAACCAAGCACGGGGTGCTTGCTTGACACCATAGAGGGCACGCTATAGTTTGCAAACCTTATGAGTTGGATAAGTAGACCTAGGTGGATGTTGTATGTAGACATCCTTAAGAAGGTTACCATTAAGGAAAGCATTTTTGACATCCATTTGAAAGAGCTCCCAGTGATGAGCAGCAGCAACAACAAGCAAACTGCGAACAGAGGTAAGTCGAGCAACATGGGAGAAGGTCTCCTTATAATTAATGCCATATTCTTGGTTGAAACCCTTGGCAACAAAATGAGCTTTGTAGCGCTCAATAGAGCCATCAGAATGAGTCTTGATTTTGTAGACCCATTTACAGCCAATTGCAGTCTTGCTAGGAGAAAGATCAACAACATCCCAAATATGAGTTTTGTCCAAAGCCTGAAGTTCAACAGTCATAGCTTGCTGCCAAAGAGCATTAGTACAAGCCTCACGGTAGGAGGTAGGTTCATAAGTAGAAAAGGCAGCAGACCCAACAATATAATCACGAAGATGACTAGGAGGTTGAGTTACCCGGTGTGGCCGACCCGTGGGAGGATCTGTAGAGGGAAGAGCTGGCGAAGAAGGAGGAGGCAGACTAGAAAGTGCAATGAGAGGTGGACCATCAAGGAGAATAGTCTGGACGGGATCAAAGATCAACAAGGGCGTCTTGATGAAGGTGGAACCTATATCAAAGTTATTAGAGAAGAGATCTAGGGAAGGATTAGTAAATATGACCGGAGTAGAGAGTGCGGGTAAGTGAAAGGAGGAGAGGGAGGAAAACATTTTGTGCTCCCAGAAAGCTACATGACGGGAGATATGAAGACGTTTAGAGAGAGGATCCCAATAGCAAAAGCCTTTATGTTCAATCCCATATCCAAGAAAGCAGCAAAGATGAGAACGAGGTTTAGCTTGGTGTGTTCATGGGATTGAAGCAGAACAAAGCAGGCAGAGCCAAAAACTCAAAGATTGGTGTATGGACGGGGAGTGCCATGTAGACGTTCAAAGGGAGTTTGATTATTGATGACAGGGGTAGGAACACAATTGATAGTGTACACAACAATAAGGGCAGCTTCCCCTCAAAAGGTTTCAGAGCAGGAAGACGAGAGAATGAGAGCGCGAGTAGTGTCAAGAATATGCCGATGTTTCCGTTCAGCACGTCCATTTTGTTGAGACGTGCCAGCACAGGAATGATGAGGTTGAGTACCATGACTCTGCAGAAAGGAAAGGAAATCGGTATCCCAATATTCCATAGCATTGTCAGAGTGAAAAATTTTAATGGTCTTTGAAAATTGGGTGTGGACCATTTTGGTAAAGTTATAATAAAGATGTTTTAGTTCAGACCTAGTTTTCATGAGAAAAAGCCAAGTAAACCGTGAATAATCATCAATAAAAGCAACAAAATAATGAGATCCCCCCATGGTAGTAGTAGGGGATAGGCCCCAAATATCCGAATGTATGAGATCAAAAGGAGCATGGGAAACAGAAGTACTATTATTGAATGATAAAGCAGGTTGTTTTACAAGTTGATGGGGTACACAATCAAAAGTATCTGGAAGTACATGACCCAATTGACCACTAGAAACCAAAGACTTTAAGTGGCTAACAGAAATATGTCCTAAGCGACAATGCTAAAGATGAAAATGAGACAAAGAGGAAGCAGATGCAGAAGCAGCGATCGGTGGGGAGTCAGGAACATGAAGTTGAATGAGTTCATACAGACGTCCATGCTTATCGATCCCAATAGTTTGTCCCGTCTGAGGGTCCTGCACCAAACAGCCATTAGCAGAAAATGTGACGATTAGACCAAGCTCACATAATTGACTAATAAAGATAAGGTTTAAGGTTAGAGCAGGGATATGATAAACTTGAGGTAAAGATAACTGAGATGTGGAAACAGTACCAACATGACTGACAGACATGAGAGAACCTTCAGCAATATTAATGGAGGGAGAATGAATAGAGGGAGAGATGTCAAATAATATAGTAGAGCTGGAAGTCATACGATTACAACATGCGGAGTCAAAATACCAAGAAGAGGTACTTGGAGTCACAGACAAAGCAGTAGGAGGAGGTGTACCAGAGGTGGAGAGAAGCTGTTTGAACATGGCCTCAACATCAGTTTGAGAAAAAATAGGGGCATACGGAGCAGGAGACTCAGAGAAATCCTCAGAGGTAGCAGCAACAGTGTGATTAAACTGACGATGAGAGCTCCTCCTAAAAGAGCCACCGCTAGAGGAATGGCTAGTGGATGATGACTAGGATGGATTGCAAAAACAATCCTGTTGCAGATGACCAGGACCAAGTTTGTTGCAATATCGGCAGGATCAAACAGGGTAATGAACCAGAAGAGGGGTAGAAGGAAGGCCCCAATTTTGACAATAGATACAAGCAGTGAACCGTTGGATCGGTGAGGGCCGTGACTGAGAAGTGGCAAGAACAGAGTCCACATGATGAGTCTGGAGAGTACCAGGACGAGTCTCCTTAGATAACAGCTCAGAAATAGCTTGTTCAAGAGTGGGCAATGAAAGGCGATGAAGAAGAGAGGCACACACGGACTCAAAGGAGGGAGTGAGAGCCATGAGAAAGTGAACCAACCGCTGCTGATTACGATAGGTAGTGAATAAAGCAGCATATTCTCGGTGAGGCCATGCCGGTTCTGAGAGAGCAAGCTGGTCCCAAACAGAATACATTTGAGAAAGAAAGTCATTAATAGACTGACTGGATTCTTGGCGCATGCAGTGAAGTTGACTCTGAAGTTGATACTGATGGGCAAGACCGGTAGTCTGGTATCGATCTCTCAAAAAATCCCAAATGTCTTTAGCAGGATTGGAAACAAAGTCAAGTTGAAAATGGCCAAACTGAAGACTAATAGAGGGAAAAGAGGTATTCTGAAGCCAAGTAATGATCTGGTAGTTCTTACTGTCCCAATCTTCAAGTCAGTCTTCATATGTGGCAGTAGGTTCAGCGTCCTCTTTCACTGGTTTGGTCACATCCCCGATGATAATACGCCAAAGTTTCCGTCCTTCGAGGAAGGAAGACATGGCTTGGGCGCACAGTACATAATTGGAACCATTAAGAAGAACAGAAACTGGATGGGAGGCATCATGGCGATTCATATTAAAAGTGAAGTAGGACTAAATAAATAGGAACATGCCTGTAGGAGCAAAATCTGGTAAAACAGAGCATACCAGTGAGTCCGGAAGGTCAAAAATAGCTGGGAAAGGGACTACTGTGCAGAGATGACGTCAGCAGAGGGCCGAATGATGTCAGCGGCGCACAATAGCAGTCAGAGGACCGGCGCACAATAGCAGGAACGACGGGCGGCGCACAATAGCAGAACGGCGCACGCGCGGTGCAAAGGAGCAGAATGGCACACGCGGGCACACAATAGCAATACGGTGTACGCGCTGCACATAGCAGCAGGCGTGTCACACGCAAAGGGTAGGGCTGACGTCATATGATGACATGAGCACGCAACGGAAGACGCGTGAGAACGTGTATGGGAGTGGCGGCGGAAGCAGACACGCGTCGAACACGGAAGTGGCGAGTGAGGGCGTGTGAAGGCTTTTCTGGTGACATGGGTGGTGCCGTTAGAATCGTAAGGAAATTCTGAGCAGGTTGGTTGGAAGATACAACGGTTCGGAAGCAGTTCTGTAGTGCCGCTGTGTACGGGACTGGGAACGCGGAGAAAAGGAACTCAACTCTGATACCATGTGACGATAGTTTGGTAGAGAGAGAGAGAAAGAGAAAGAATAAACTGAAATGTATATTGATTTATTCAGTATATGTTTACAATGGGAAGATTACTCTTCTTTATAGAAGGGAGAGAATAGAAAGAAGAAAGGGCAAAAGTGTGCACTAAGGGAACAACATAATGAAAGCTTTACTTTACAACTAATTACAGCTACACTAACAGTATTGATAGAGTAATCCTATATATTTGTTTATGTTTTGTTTTCTTTAAATCCACCAATTTATTTTCCACTCGTTTGGAAGAAATGGTTCTAATATTTTTGGATTAATATGCGGGGTAAGTCAGAAATTCACATCAATATCAACAGTCCAATCAAGAAGATGTTGATATTAGAGCCTTAGAGTGAACAAAATGAGATTTGTTCAGCTCTGCAAAGCAAAAACAGGATAGAGAAGTCAGTGCTAATAGAATTGCTGATACATACATACCTACATACATATATCCTTTTTGAAGTGGAAAGATTCATAGTGTCAAAATGAAAATCTTGATATACACCAAAAAAAAAAAAAATGGAAATCTTGAGAAGCAATGATCATTGATTCTAGTATTTCAATATATATGTATATATATCATTAGGCAAAGTTTTGCTATTGATCGAGGAATCTCTCTAAGGTCAGGTATATCCACCCTTATAGATTGAATCTTGGATATACACAATCACCCACCCACCAACCTCTCCATATACAACTGTATCAAATTCTATCCATGTTCATATCTAGGGTAACTTGGCTGTCTAGATACAAATTCAGACTTAATTGGGTTATGTGGGCGGCAGATGATAGAATGAACACTTCTAAATAGAAAAAATATCCAGAGAACTTTACAGAAAATAATACATTTCATCACAGCGGCATTAGGCTATGTTAGTTAATACGGTTTGTAAGTTTCAAAAAGATTTAAAAAAATAATAATAAAGTGTATGAAATAAAGAGTGTACATTTTTTTACACTTCAACAAGTAAAAACTAAAAAGTACTGTTGGAGTTGCTCCTAATCAAATAACCATCACTACAAGAATCAAATTTTAGAAACAACCAAAGGATATTTACTCGAAAGTCCCATCCCAGAAAAGTATGTACAAAAAGGTTCCATAAATTTTCTTGTAGACTATTAAGTCCCGTTGAATTTGAAAAGGTATACCATGAGCTCCTTTCACTATATTTTTTGGAGATTCCAAATTTTAAAGAGCATCAAAACAATTGGAATTTTAAATTCAATAGCAAAAAAGAAAAAGTAAACTTTATTAGTACAAAATTATATCCATTATGTTATTAAATCATATATATTTTTAATCTTTTTCAAATGAACTTTGATTTTCCTTAAAAATAATAATTTTGAATTAAAATCCAAAATATGCCCAGGGTCCATAACGCGTTGATCTTTAGAAATCTAGAATTCGTCAACCAAACCCAAACCCAAACCCAGTCTGTTAACCAATAAAAGTCCATGGGCCTAAGAGCATCCACACCAAACTCTTTAAATTTTTAGTCAAATTATAACTAAAAAAGTCATTTTTCAACTTTAGCTAATTACTCCACTGCATCAAACTCTCTATTCTAACTCAATCATACTAAAATATTTGTTATTCTTTTTTTTTTTTCATTAAATTGATGAGCTGCTAGCCAAACAATTCTTAGATTACTTTGTATAGGTAAAACTGGAAG